CATACGCTATAGGTAATGAAAATGAAATGAAAAATTCTTTATTTTACCAGGCAAAGTTAGGGCCACATGGCCCTCTCTTACACTTAACCTGACAAACTTAAATATAAATAAATAAAAATACAATGACATTTCTTAATCTAATATAAAAACACATATTTAACACATCAAGTACAAGTTAACAAAAATTCAATCTATTTAACTAATTAACTAATTAAAAAAATAGTAATTATTATAAATTAATAGAATATACAACAGAAAAAACTTTCACACTCTCACACGCATACGCACCAGTAATCACGCAAAGACGCAGAAGCCCTAGGACACGCCAGCCGAGACCATTTGCTCAAAGTAGAGATTTTTTAGTGCCGCCACAAACTGGGAACGTTTATCAAGGGATTTAATGTGTAGGGGTAGGTTGTTCCAAAGACGGCAAGCGGTAACAACAAAAGCCCTGTCATAAGCGGTGGTCACATGATGAGGTATACGCAATGTGATCGAAGAAGAACGAGAAATTCGTGTACTACCCTGAGACACAAATTTAAAATCTGATGTAAAATATTTCGGGGAGCCTGATTTCAAAATTAAAAAGACTAATGACAAAATTTTGATGGATCTTTGATAATTTAGTTTCAAGATGTTTGCCTCAAGGTAGTATGGCGTCATATGCTCCATACGTCGCAGACCATAGACAAATCTCAAAGCGTAATTCTGAGACCGCTGGAGCATATCCGCCTGAATCACAGTCATGTCATTGAGCAATGAGTTGCAGTAACTGAAGTGGGGCAGTACAAGTGATTTGATCAAATGAAGTTTTGTGTGTTGTGGCAAAAAGTTCTGCAATCTTTTCAGTGAATGTATGGAGGCAAAAACCTTTTTTCGTGTGTCCGTAACTGCTGTGTCCCAAGTAAGTGAAGAGTTGAAAGATATGCCAAGATTCTTTACATTGTCAAAGTAGGGCAGTGCTTTGCCACCGACTGTGATTGGGTTTATTGAGTCTAAGTCAATTGAAGGGCGAAGTCGAGGGTGGCAGATTACAATCGGTTTTGTCTTTTCGTGATTTAGTCTCAGTCCATGATTCTCAGTCCAAGTAACTATTCGGTTAACGTCTTCATTGATCCTTCTGACACAGTCATTTTCGTTGTTTGCAGTAAAATAGTCATAGATTTGTAAGTCGTCAGCGTACATGTGGTGTTTACAGTTGGTCAAGGTCGAGTTTATGTCGTTGACGTACAGTACAAAGAGCAGTGGTCCAAGGATTGATCCTTGGGGCACACCGCATGTAACAGTCATCCAGTCTGATCTTGTGTCACCAACCTCCACACATTGCTGCCTATCTGACAGATAAGATCTCAGCCATTTAAGAGAATTCTGGGAAAACCCTATTGCCCTTAATTTCTGCACCAGCAAGTCATGATTAACACAGTCAAATGCTTTGGAAAAATCAAACAGAGTTAGAATCGTTCCCTGTCGACGCTCCATAGCAAGTCTAATGTCTTCAGTCACTCGAAGGAGTGCTGTTTCTGTACTGTGCGCTGATCTGAAACCAGATTGATAGTCAGATAGAATGTTATTTTCAGTGATGAATTCAGTGATTTGACAGTGAACGATCCTTTCTAGGCCTTTAGATAGAGCGGGCAAAATACTTATCGGCCTGAAATCCCCAACCAGAGTTGGTGCTGAGATCTTTTTTAGGGGACGGACAATGGCAGACTTCCAAAATGAAGGGAATGAACAGTGCCGCAAAGATGCATTAAAAATGAACGTGATAGTAGGAAGGATTGCGTAGAGGATGTCTTTGATAAAGCGGATAGGTATCCCATCAGAACCGACAGCATTGCTTCGGATTCTGCGAATAGCCATCAAAACATCAGACTGAATAACTGGTTTGAAATTAAACTCAGGATATCCCAGGTGCGGGGTTGGAGAGTTGACTAATTCATTCAAGTAACTATTGACTTTGTGCTGATTGGTATTTTGACTGCTAGAAGAAAAGTAAACGTTTAACTCATTTAGAGGGATGTGTACTGGTTGAGAATCAAATTGTTTCCCAAGCCCAAGACTTTTAACTTTGCGCCATAAAACTCTCGATGGCTGTTTTTGATTTTCAAAAAGTGCATGAATGTATCTGAGTTTGGAATTTCGCAAAAGCTGTTTAACTCGATTACGAAGATTACAATATTGTTGTTTTAGTTCGATATTGTTGGAGTGCCTAGCTCTTATACCTAAGCTATCACGTTTAGCCATCAAACCTTTGATTTCAGGGGTCATCCATGGAACAGGCCTTCTTTTTGTCACGCGCTTTGTTAAGATGGGAGCATGTTTGTCAAAGAGATTTAATATGGAAGAATTTAACTCATGAACCATTTCATCGACGGAATTTAAATTTTGAATGAAGTGCCACGGAGTTTGTTGAACGTTTAACATGAATTGTGCAACATTCATATTTTTAAAATCCCGATATTTAATAAGCTTTGCTTTGGGCTTAGGAGATTTGATTGAGTACACACAGAAAATAAGGTCATGTTTGGATATTGAAGGGACTGGAAGCTGCCCATGGTGAATGATATCTTGATGATTGGACACTACGATTAGATCCAAGAGGGTATCAGAATTGGCAACATGATGTGTGGGATCGAGTGGAAGTACAGTTAGGTTACATGATTCAAACAAAGTAGTCAGCTGTCTGTGTTCAAAGTTATGAGTCGATGATAGTAAGTCAGTGTTGAAATCACCCATGATCAAAACATGACTGTATCTGAACATTTCATTAAGCAAGGCATTTTCAAAATTGAGCAGATGCCCTGATCTTGGTGGGCGGTAGCACACTCCTAGTAACAGCGCATCTGCTCCAGATAAACTAATCTCAATTAATAGGAATTCTGGCCCAGCCGAGTACTCCGATGGTGAAGAAAAAATAGTTTTGAACTTTAAATCCTCCCTGATATACACCGCAACGCCACCGCCCTGTTTACCAATCCTATCATTTCGCTGCAGCACATATCCAGGGAGAGACACCTCATTTGAATGATTACTCGGCTTAAGCCAGGATTCAGAAATGCTAATCAAGTCAAAGTTTCCAGGATAAAAGATTTCTCTAACCTCATCAATGTGAGCACGCAAAGACTGGGCATTGATGTGCGCCGCTTTCAGGTGTTTAGGATATGGAGATAAGGAGCGAGAGAGACAATCAGCGGTGGACAATGTAGGGTGTAGGATGGGGGAGGGGGGAGAGATAAGCGGGTCGCTGTGGCGAGCACTATGCGGCTGTGGACTCGCTACCCCGGGTCCACAGGTCGCGACGTCACGACAGGCGCCCCCAAAAAACTTCCTATGAATAGGAAGAGGAATCGAAATAGGTACTGTACTATGTATAAGGGGAGAAAGTAAAAATTGGTTTTTCCAATTTATGAACATTAAAAACGTTTATTAGCCTTGCTACCTGAAAAACTATAACTGATCTATTTCTTAACCGATAAATAAAACTTTATTTCCGAATGCTTTCAGATGGGGTATATTATTTTCCCACCCAGCAGACTGCAGGGGGGGGAGGGGCGGCAAATTTTAGTTTGCCCCCACTCAAAAATTGTCTAGATCCGGCCCTGGTTGTTCCTTGTCAATAATCTAGAGGTTAAATACCTTGTTGCCAACGTAATCCTTGGTAGATTTAATGGCTACCGCTTTCGACACACTTATGGTGTCATTGTCAAGCCTAGACGTGGTTTTTTGCTCCTAGGAGGTTGTCATAAAGTCTTAAAAAACACAAAACGAGACAAACAAATAACAAAAACGAACACTAACAGTTCAATGCTATTGCACGTCACATACGCCTTCACTAAAAACCTTGTGGGATAACCTAAAGAAAAAGGCAAAACTTTTTGATAATTCATATCTAGTAATAAAATTAATTTTGCCTTAATTATTAAAATCATTAACCCTTTCTCTTATCCACCAAGTTCGGCGAACAACATAGGCTAATCTTCATCATTATCACTTTCAAAAGCTAATTCGTATCGTATGCTCTACTTGCATTTGGCATTTCCATATAAACTTAAAACTTACGGCGAGTAAGTTTAAACTACCTCTAACGGTGAGTGGTGAAATCCTAGACTGGGACGGGTGGCGTCGTCCTGTAATCCAGCTACTAGGAGGTCACGAATTGTGGATATTTATAGGCATCCACTGTGGATGCGATACTCCCTGGTGTGGATTAACGTCCGCACGGGTGAGTTCTACGACTATCCGCAGTACTATCCTGATAATTACACCAATTCATACGGAAAAAAGTGGTTCGGATTCCACTATAAACTGTAGATCCCTTAGTTGCCGTTAGCTGTATGGGCTATTAATTAACAGCTGTGTCTAAGGAATATGTCGGCCTTAGTCACTAACAAGACTACAAGATCGCGCCACTCATCATACACTCATCTCCATTCATACTTGGCTTAAAGTACCTACTTTGTATGGTCGCCATTTCAAAGGAAAGTATTAAAGTATTTCGTCAGTTAAGAGTTAACTGCAGTTAGAGCTTGGTTTAACGGCGGTTTAAGTGTTTGGTGAAATCGGGCCTAAGTCTATCTAAGTGGAGTTGAGAATTGTGTAAACGTTATTTTACTTGATTTCTAAGCTGGCGATATTGGGCCATAAGCACCTGGTCCCTAGTTCTTTTAGCTCTGGGATGGACTGAATCCCACCGAGCCATTAAACCAATGATCTCCTCAGTAATCCCAGGAACGGGGAGAGTTTTACTAACTCTTTGGTTGATAATTGGAGTGTGTCATAAAATTTTAATATGGCTTCATTAAGTGAACCGACCGTAACATCAACTCTTGGGTGTGTATTGAGTGCCAACAGATTAAATTTACATGTGACAAAGAATTTGCTTCATTAAAATTTCTAAAATTTCAGTAAGAGATTATTTTGGGCTAGGACTTGGAAGCTCTCATAGCAAGGGACAATAAATTAGGTCATAGCATCAAACAAATAAAACTTAACAGACTTACTAGATACTCAGAGAGCTTCTTCACCAATGGTTCATACTGGACCGTTCGTGCCCAAGAGTCAAAAACAAAACACAAATTGAAGTAAAACGCATTTCTTGCATACTTCTTGTTGTCAATGCGAACAGGAAATCCTAAGATTTTAAGACTCCAAACAGTTCTGCAACAATCATGATAAAAATCATATGTCTATTTCTATTTGGTAAGATTATGTAATTAGTCAAAAGCTTTAAAAACATTAATGTTAGCAATAAAAGTAACTTAATAAATTAATGAGTGTGTTACTCAACTGAAGCTGCAATATAAAATTTAATTTAAAAATGTTATTAAATAGGTAACTTTTAATTAATTTTGAAATATTATTGTTTTGTAATATTTAATTTCTACAAGCTACTATTTCCGATGTAGCACACACATAATTAATTCTGGTGTAAATCACTTGGTATAATACTTTTTAATAAGAAAAGAATGACCAACTGTGTAACGACAGTCTCCTGGCCGATTCATTCTTTTCGCACAAAAATATTCCTATTTACATCTTCCTTTGGTTAGCTATATAATGATGCTTGAACTAATCACGGCATACTTAAATTATATCCCGCAGGGGGCCCATGCTTGCGTGGGTACGTGGCCTGGCGACCACGCGGACCCTAGCTCTCCCAGAGGGGAGGTAACTGCCCGGTGTCAGACCCGGCACTTCAGGTAGGCCACAGTTATGGACGACTGGTAAGCGCCAGCCCCTTAGGGGGAGCCTCCAGTGACACTCCCTCCATTCAGGGTGGGGGGGGGGGTGTTTAGCTCTCAGTGACGCCGTTAATTCCGCCTCTCCTCACCTACCTGTAACTGTGGTTGTGACTTGAGTTCTTCGGGCTCGTCCTACCTGTTGTGTTCGACTGACATTTTGTGAGGCATATCCTCGACTTTGGAAGTAGCCTCGTCCTGGGAGGTGAAAAACCTAGCCCCCAAAGGGGAGGTAACTGCTCGGTGTTGGTATCGGCATTTTCAAGTAGGCCACAGACATGGACGACTGGGCATTGGGTCCCAGTGACATTCCTTTATCCAGGATGGAGGGGTGTTTAGCTCTAGGAGAGATGGAAGTGCATCATATTCTCTAACCTACCTGTGTCTGTGGTTCTTTGGGTTTCGGCCTGCTTGTTGTGTGCGACCAGCATTCAGTGTGGCAAATCCTCGACTTTGGAAGTAGCCTTTCCTGGAGGTGAAAACGGGCAAGTACCTGTAGCTCACGGGGACACTCAAGGGCAACGTAACTTTCCGCAGTGTGAGGGTAACGGTTTGTAGGCACTTATGCAAACCAATCCCTGTCTCTGAGCACGGACGGTATGGTTATCTTGAGTGTGGGGGGTTCTTCCCGGAACCTCAATTGAGTCAAGGGTGTCGCCACCTCTGGTGGATAGGTTCATCCGGGTGGGTCCCACTTCTATACCTGCCTCCTTTTGGGAAACCCTGATGGCCTGGCAGTGATGTTGGGTCTGACGGGCAAACGAAGTAGATCGGGTGCTGGGTCCGAGCCCGCCAGGGGTATCTGGGGATCTATCGCTCTGGTTATCTCTGGTTTCCCAGCAACTGGGTAAGGCCTCGATCGGGTAGTGGTGTAAATGGGAGGTTGGGGTTCCCCCGTCAGCGTGCTGACGGTCCCCTTCCTTCTGGCTATGATGGCGGGTTCTGCCTGTCAGGGAATAGATTGGTCCCTAGTGTTGCTTGCATTAAATGCGTCGGGGCGCTCCATTATGGTCCTCTAGGGCTTGTACCTGGTGGAACCCAGATGGAGTGACGCTTAAACAAGCAGCCGGAATCCCTGGTTAGGATTGAGGGGCAACCCTCTTTCCGAAGGGTCTGCTTCGGCAGCCGGCGAGCCTGATGACCTTAAGTCATCCGCCCATGATGTGCTAAAGGTTGATGCGTAAGCTTCGGCCTACATCATGGGGCCCGGGTATGTCTCACGATAGGTACCGGGTACGTAGTCAGGGGGCTTCGGCTCTCATGACAAAGAAATAATAATAATAATAATAATAAATAATAATACTTAAATTATACAGAAAACTTACATGGTCAGAGTACTTCGCTGTAGTTGAGCTTTGGGAATTATATAAACACTAACAGCCTCAAACGTGTCCTTAGGAATATAATCTTCAGGAACCTAAAAATATAAACTTTTTAGAGTTAAGTTAAGATGTAGGGCCTACTATTCTATTACTCTAAAGTAAATTTGTATATATTAATTAATATTAGTGATATTTCCAATCAAGACTGTGTTATCTTTAATAGGATTTGACAATGTAATAAAAAATATTAGGGCTTATAACTATTTGATAATGTGGATTGGATTGGGTCAAATTAGTTGTGTTTTTACTTTTTGTATACACTAATCAACTCAATTAAGCTATTCTAAGGATGAACACATTTATAATATGATACGATTTGTGATGATGTGGAGTAGTATGAGTGTAAATGAAGATACCTGGGCCCTATATATCTTCCTCTAACCACTACCAAATCACGCACATTTCCTGTCGTTGCTCAACTCTACTACAAGGAAACTAGCTACCTCGTCAAAGTGCACAATATTACCTTAGCTGCCTATCACAGCCAGCTTTTATGTTCTTTAATATATCTAATTATAATATAGTGAAAAGAGAAATAAATATATACAGGGTGAGTTTCTACTGACGCCCATAACTTCGCCAGTGGATTCTACTGATCAAAATGAACAAAAAAGTTCATATAAACCCTAGTCCGATTCCGAACCGTTTGGTCGTAATTGAGAATGTTGTGTTTTCTAAAAATATTGGACTTTCTGTCACTATTTACTTTATAAAAATAAAACCAATTACTCTAGCGATTTATATCAAAAATAATTCGAAAGGGCATTAAATTTGCTACAAAACCAAGGTTACATGATAAAATATTTCATTACATACATCGGTTCCTAGCCGAATTAAAGTAAAAAATATCGTATAATAGTTATTTTGTTTAAGTTTTAAGACCCCTTTTTCTTATTTTATTCTGGTGCCACTCAATGTCCAACTAGACAAAAAACTTCCTCATTTAATAAGCTTTAAATTGATATGCAATTAATTGTTGTTGGTAGAATTGACAGAAAAACTACCATCAAACTAAAGTAAAACCCGGTTTACCGATTTGGTTTTAGCAAGGTAACAAAACTACTAATATTAAACTCTAATATTAAAAACATGTCTTGGTTCAAATCGTACTGGTTCAAATCAGCTGATTCAATTGTTATGATTTGTTAGCAAGTCTAAATCAGCTATAGTAAATAACGTTATTTGGTTTCCTAGTCAGATTAAAACGCTTGTTTGTTATTTTTCACGTTATGGATCCCTTCACAAGTTCAGAATATGATGATATGCATTATGTTTATGGTTTTTGTTCCGGAAATGCGTCTGAGAGTGTTCGCCAGTACATTCGACGCTTTCCAGACAGGAGGATTCCTGATCGAAAAACATTTATTCGCGTCCACCGGTGTTTGCGTGAAAATGGAAAGTTTCCCACCAACGACCGCTTAGTTGGAAACTTTATACAAGATGTCGGATTGGAAGAGGCTGTCTTGGAACGGGTAAATGCAGATCCAATGATAAGTACGAGGACATTAGCCCGTGAGTTTGGGGTATCTCAAACATTTGTGTCATAACTATTACGAAAAGCGGGGTTGCACCCATTTCATTTCACACGCGTCCAGAAACTCGAGCCGAGAGATCCACCTCAGAGGCTCCAGTTTTGTCAGTGGATCCGGCAACATGACCGCAGGGATTTCCTGAAAACAATTTTATGGACTGATGAATGTTCGTTTACGAGAGATGGAGTCTTTAATTTCCACAATGAGCATCACTATGCTGACGATAATCCGTACCTCGTCGCGAATCTAGGAGTCAGTCACGATTCAAGGTAAATGTGTGGGCTGGACTGATAGGAAATCGAGTGATTGGACCATATCTTGACCTTCCTCCAAGACTAGTTAGTTATTTAGTGGAGATGACTAGTTACAGTTCCTAACTGAAATCCTACCAGAACTCATGGAGGACATTCCATTGAATTTGCGTGATCGCATTGTGTACCAAGCTGATGGCGCACCCCCGCACTTCAATCTCAATGTACATGACTATTTAAGCAACAACTTCCGCTTGTGGATAGGAAGAGGTGGAACCGTTGCCTGGCCTCCTCAGTCACCATACCTCAATCCATTGGATTATTACTTTTGGGGGTATCTTAAACAAGAGGTTTATCGGACGCCAGTGGAATCAGCCGTAGAAGTGAGAAACCGAATTGTCACAGCTACTGCACGACTACGCAATACGGTAAACTTGAATCCTTGAATGCGACTGTTAGAGAGTTGAGAAAACGTGTCCGCATCTGCATCAGACAAAATGGTGGTCATTTCGAAAACTTGCTTAAGTAGCAATAAACATTGTCTATTCTGAATGCTTGTAATTAATTTGTTAATGCAAAGTAACCATTGAGTAACTGTATGAAAATGTTGTGTTCATTTGCCTCGCATTATTAAAATAAGAATACCCTTACTTGTAAACCTAGTTTTTATTTAGTTTCATAGTAGTTTTTTTGTAATTTCTACCAACAACAATTTAAAACTGCATATCAATTTAAAGCTTATTAAATGAGGAAGTTTTTAATCTAGTTGGACAATGTGTGGCACCAGAATAAAGTAAGAAAAAGGGGTCTTAAAACTTAAACAAAATAACTATTATACAATATTTTTTACTTTAATTCGGCTAGGAACCGATGTATGTAATGAAATATTTTTTCATGTAACCTTGGTTTTGTAGCAAATTTAATGCCCGTTTGAATTATTTTTTATATAAATCGCTAGAGTAATTGGTTTTATTTTTATAAAGTAAATAGTGACAGAAAGTCCAATATTTTTAGAAAACGCAAAATTTTCAATTACGACTAAACGGTTCGGAATCGAACTAGGGTTTACAGCAACTTTTTTGTTCATTTTGATCAATGGAATCCACTGGCGAAGTTATGGGCGTCAGTAGAAACTCACCCTGTATATATCTGGACTTATTCTAATTCGTGAAAAAAGTAACTAGATTTAGCAAATGTGAGTTCTAAATTTGTGATATTGATTGCCAGACCACGACCGGCGTCACGTGACTTGCGCTATTGTAGCGATTCGCTACAACATCCCCCGGTGGGGTTGTTTTATTTTCTTTTTTTCTTTTTTTTTTTGGGTGGTTTTGGGTTTTTTTGTGTCAGTGCCGTCGCAATTGGGTGCTTTCGACGCCAGATCGTCAACTAATCTCGGGTTTGTGTGGGTGTGAATTGATTGTATTACAGGTTTGTTTTGTGATAAGGCTTGTGCGATCGAATTACGCTCCTTTCACACTATACGATTTCGCTCGTACGAGTGTTAATCGTACGGGCAGATGATCGTGGGTCTGTTGCTTTCACACTATACGATTTGTAATCGTACGATTAAAAAAATCTTAACCCCCACTCCACTAGAACAGAGTTCATTGACATTTCAGTGGAAAGTTTTAAGTAGTATGGATCGCGAGGAAATTATTGCTACTTTGATAATTTATAGGAGAAAAATAAATTTAATAATAGTCTTATTTAAATTTGAGACGTGAGGAAGTGGGGATGTTTAAAACATTATTTCAAGACCTGAGAAATGATGAAGAAACGTTTTTCAACTATTTTCGGATTTTAAGAGAATCGTTTAAAGCTTCAAGATCAATCACATTCATAATTTTAACTATATAGACAAAACTGTAATAAATAACAAAAACTAAATAATAAAATACGGTTTGCACAGGTAGTTCAACTCAATAATTAAACAATTAAACAACTGTAAACGCAAAATATCTGAAAACTATACGCAACAAACTGCACTTGGGGAGGGCTCCCGCACGACTACAATCGTGTAGTGTGAAAGGGGCCATATGGTCACATGGCCACTAGCAGTAGACACGATTTTTACTTGTGCGGGAGTCGGATACCAACCGTGTGCACCTACGGTCGCTACGCGGGTGAAAATCGTACACGGTTGGTAATCGTATAATGTGAAAGGGGCCATAAGCTCCAATGCGTTACAACAAATATGATTAATAACCGCACGAGCGAAATCGTATAGTGTGAAAGGAGCGTAACCTATGGCTTGGGCTGTGATTTTAATAATTTCGGCCGTTTGTTCCGCTAAGATGGGTGTGTTTTGTTCCGTGGGTTTTGGTGTGTCTGGTACACTTGGCACCTGTGCTGTCACCGCGTTTTTTAGGATGACCCTATTCTCCTCCAGTGTCTTGGCTGGGGTTAAGCCCCACTTCTTGCACTGTAGAATAGCGCTTTGCGCATCAAATTCTCGTATCCATGATACCCCTGTGGGTTTTGTTTCCCAATCGTAAATATTGGATATCTTGCCTTGATCTACTATTTTTTTTTATCCAAACAAAAATTCAATACTAAACAAATCTTTTTGTATCAACTATTTTACCAAACAGGTGGGAAGAGTTTTGGCTGGGCAAATTGTAATTTAATAAGAGAGGGAGAAATTATTAAAAAAAGGGTGTGAATTTTGCCTAATGATGTTTGACTAAGATCTGATTCCCTAAATTGTTCAAATGTATGTCATCCCTACATTTTAAAACATGTGTTAGAAAAATTGGCTTGCTGCGTGTAGTAGGATAATGGTGTGTCGGTATGCGGAATTTTATTGTTTGTAGTGGCGGGCCTGCATGTTTAAGGTTGCTGCGAGTGAATAAAATTTTGTGAACTGTAAAATTTAAAAACTGTATTGCATTTTATGTCTGACATCTAATATAAAATATTTTTTTTACGTAGTAAAAAGTTGTTTTAAGTTGTAAGTTGTTTTACGTAGTATATTAATATTTTTTTACGTTTTAAATGTTTTTCTGTTTTTATATTTATTTCATATATTTATTTGTATTTTTGCTTAAGATGAGCCTGTAATAACTGTGTGTAATGTATATTTAAATCGTGTATGTTTGCTTGGAAATAACAAATCTGGCTTTAAATCGTCGCTTTATCTTTGAACTTCTGCTATCTAACATTCCAGTTATCTTCTAAGTCTGTCTGGCCCATTAATGACATGGACTCTCAACTTTCCCTAGCCCACCTCAAATATCAAAACTCTGCTGG